GCTTCTGAAACGCGATATAATCAAACCATATTATTTTTTATTCTGTTGAATAATTAATTTATAATAATCGGTGAAACCAGTCGATCGCTTTTAAAAATAATAAGATCTCAAAACATTCAAAATCGAAAAAAAAATTATATTTAAAGATCCAACTATCTATGTAACAATGTAACCTCCATTGTAATGATACCTGTTTTTATGTTTACATGTTTAAATTGAATAATTTTAAATAAAAATTTATTTATGATGATATTTTATGAATAAAAGATTAAGAATATTGTCTAGAGATATATTTCATATGTACTTCATACTTTAAAATTACAAAAATTTACAATAAAATTTTCATAAAGATAAATTTAATTTTATGTTCATGTTTCTTCAACTAGATATATTTTTATTTTTATTTTCCATATTTTTTTATTTCACAACAATAACCAAATACTATCTAGTAATATTATTACATTATTTGGGTTGGGAATAAGTTGCGATGCAGGCATTGAACAACATAATATTTGTTTTTGCATTAGCATTATGATTTTGAAAAAAAATAATTATTATTATTTTAAATTAATTTTTTTAATTTTTTTATTGGTTTCAGTAAATATCTCACTTATTATCTATATATACTACATAGAATCAGTTGGTCAGAAATCTTGTATGATTCATAATTTAGAAATTTGATTTGGATTGAATTTTTGTTTGACTAAAAAAATATTAATCTACTTGATCGCACTTAGTGCTTTGATGAATTGGTCAGTGGCATGAGAAGAATTTAAAAAAAAAAAAGAAGTGAAATGCCATAATTTTAATAAAAAAAAATAATTAATCGAGGCTACCCTAATGCCTGATTTGATAACTCAAGAAGTCAATCCTTTTTCATGCCAGATCTTGTTAACTATAAACATATCGCAGGTGATCTGTTTGTCATCTCAATTTTACAGTGGCGGTCTTATCAAGGATTGCAAAAACTCATCCTTCCCCGTATGAGTTGAAGAATGCATTTGGCGAGTCGGGTTGAGCCATGATCCGAGAAGTTAAGGTAATCCTACTATAACAGAGTGATTCAAGGCTAATCTGGGGATTTCCTATTTTTTTAAATAATTAAATGGCTCAGAACCCAAGGTGTAGTAAACACCCTACATCCCTAGATTTGCTTTTCTCTTTGTGAATCAAATGTCGTGCTAGGAAATCATCAGTGGACCTTGTACGTGTTAAACTACCAAAATGCTCAAATCTAGTTCTTTTTTTAAAAAAAAATTAGACAGCATTCGGGGATGCGTGATTCCTGCTCTATGCGCCAATTTCTATGAGTTTTTTGTTTTTGTTTCTAGCATAGTAAAAAAACAAATAATATAATAATATAATACAAAAAAATATTTAAAAAATTAATATATTTTAGAGCATTGGAGATTACATTTATAGCATGTGAGTCCTAATTATAATATACAACTGTTTTAAATTATAAAATTATTAAACACATATTCAATAAAAAAAAAAACATTATAGGTATATCAAACGGTTCAATAAAAAAAAAAAAAACATTATAGGTATATCAAAACTCAATGGTGTTGGAGTGCATCGTATAAGTGGTTTAAAAACAAGTTAGCTCCGACACCTCTGAACAACTTATATGACCTACTATATTTATTGTTGATGATATTTTTTAGTGTCATTGAATTCATCCCATCAATATCTTTTAAACAGTACTAGTGATATTATTAATGAAATTTTGGTATGCCTCCATGATCATTTTTTCTCCTTCTCTTTAAATTTGCTAAGAGAGAAAAAAAAAAGATCCTAAAGACATACTGAAATTTCGATGATGATACTACTTGTACTATAAAAAAGATTCTGACAAGATAAATCTAATGACGTAAAAAAAAATCATAAACAATGAATAAAATAAGCTACAAGAACTATCCAAATATATAACATTGCAGCGCAAAATATGATATGGGATATCATAAAATATATCAAGGCTCATTTATCTTTAAATTATTTGTATAGCCTATTTTAATTAACATTAATGTTCTTTTTTGGTATGATGAAATTCATTTAGTCAATATCTTTCCAACGATGTTATTACTTAAGTTTTTGGTATGCATGCAAAGTTTTTTTTTTAATTTTTCATTTTTTTTGGTTAAATCTTGTCGTATAGCTTTTTTTTCTTTTTCCTTTTCTTTCTTATCTCATTTTTTTTTTATTGAATCTTGTATCCATTGAGATTGTATACATGATCTGTGACTTTCTAATATGTGGTCCTTTTCTTAATATTTTTTACATGTTGTTATTTTATCAAATTTCTTTTTTACTGTGGTAAGTAAAAAAATAAAAAACTCCAATTTCTATGTGCCGAAACCCGACGTCGTTTAGAGGCAACCAATCCTGTTTTTTTTTTTTTTGGTTGAAAAACCAATCTGTTGATTTTGCCTTGGGTAGTCTCGATGTGAGATAGATAAGATTATTAAAAGGAAAAGGGTCTACTTTGCAAGGTGAGCATGGCTCGGGCACTCAACTTGCACTCTTCGGTCGTGGAACTAATAAAAAATGCTATAAACGTGCAAGTGGATGTTCGATGCTTGAAAATAGAAGATAACTTTTCTTAAAATTAATCCGTGGGTTGTTAGGCTGTGTTTGTTTGATCAGCTGGATTACGCTTTTTAACTCTTTTTTTTTTTTAACTTCAAATTATATTTTTTTTAAAATTATTTTAATATATTTTTAACTTCAAATTATAATTTTTTTAAAATTATTTTAATATATTAGTATTAAAAGAGTGCTTAGAAATGCAGGTGAATTTATATTTTAAAAAAATTAAATTTTTTTATTAAAAAATAATATTTTTTATATTTTAAATTATTTTGACACGCCGACCTTAAAAATAATTTTAATAAATAAAAAATATTATTTTAATATATTTTAATATAAAAAATATTTTAAAAAATAATTATAAGTATATTTTAAAAATGAAATGATAGGCTATGTTCGTTTGACCAATGTATTTTGAAAGAGGTTTCTTAAATGACAAGTTCTAAGGAAAAAAATCATGCACATAGAAGGGAGGAAACTTCTCTTGAAATTGAGTTTATAAGTTGATTTAAATGGATTTTTATAATGGTTATTTTTAAAATTATTTTTTATTTAAAAATATATATAAATTTTTTTTTTTTATTTTTTAAGATATTAATATATTAAAATAATATAAAAAAATATTTTTTAAAGAAAAATAAGATGTACACAGACACAACCTAAAATACAATTTCAGATCTGCAACCACATGCTTTGCCCAATTTGAAGAAGAAGATTGGTTCAAGGATTAACATTTTGCTGTGATTTAAGGAAAATGAGATTATATTTTTGTATAAAATAATTTACAAGATCAATTTTTTTCTTATTGAAAATATTTGCATCAATTATGGTAATGGAAAAATTCTTATCTAAATTAAGTCTACCACATTACTGAGAATAAACAAAAAGATATATATACGAAATACATGGAATGCTATATGTTTTTGTATAATATTTCATATTAACAACTAATCTTATTAAAAATGCTAGTTGTTAACTTGTTATATATATTTTGAAGTATTGGATTCAGATATAGACTTGCGTTATTAGAAATAAAATTACGAGGACAATAAAATCTAAAACAAATAAAATATAACAAATTAAACCAAGCTAATAAATTCTACCTTAATTTATAAATGATGCAATGAATTTTACTCACATATCTTATATTTATCTAGTAATTATTTTTCAGGAAATGTTAATATATCTCTGGATGCAAAGACAGACTCTCATCAACCTTGTAGAAAATCCATATTTATTGCTCTTTTTTTTCCCCTTTGGAATACATTCAGTGGTTCTTACCTTGCTCGTGTATTTATCACTAGAAAGATTTGATTGTAATTAAATACAGAGTAAAAATGGTATAACGTTTTTTTAATAAAAAAAATTATAATTTCTTTTTACTGTTTTTTTTCCTAATAAACTTAAAATCTCTTTTGATGGATTTTTAAATAATATCTTAAAGACAGTGTCATTCATGGAAAGCTCAACAATAATAGCCTATTACGAGTGGCTAAATTATAGAAATAACTACTCACATTTCTTCAAAGAAAGAATTTTCAATATTCTTGTATTTTTCACACATAAAAATCAAGCGCATTGCTGATTGTATTTAAATAAACATTAACGATGTACTATTTTGAGTGGCTAAAATATAGCAATAAATATTTCAATTCTTTTTTTAAATTTTGAATCCCTTTTTTTTATATTGTGTGAAAAATGTTACCTTTTCAATAATAAATACAACAAATGTGACAGTGTATCCAAGATAAATCACATATTGTTTTTTTAAGTGTGGTGTATATATCTTTTATTTATTTTTATTTAGAAATGAATTAAAATAATATTTTTTATTTCTATTTTTTAATATAAATATATCAAAATAATTTAAAAATATTATAAATAATTAATTAAAAAAAACAGTCAAACCTCAGTGCTAAACAAAACTACCATTATTAACGGTTGGTTGATCCGCATTCCAGTGCTTGGTTTAAGGATGAAAAAGGTTTATTTCCTTTTACTGTACCTGGATTCGAGTCCTGACGTGCACGCTTGTTATCCCCGTGGTGCCTTACATACCTACTAGATTTACAGAGTATTCAGTGAGCTATAGGAATTAGTCATATTATACGCAAGTTGACCCGAACACCTAACATAAATTAAAAAAAAAAAAGTTGATTGATCCCAGCTGTGGATCTGGACACTTTTGGAGGTCCCCTCCTATCTCTCCTCCCTTACCTCACATGTCCCATCAACTTTTTTCCAGCAACTTTTTTTTCTCTGATGAGATCCCACCAAATTCTTTAATTTCTCTTCATTTTTATTTTTTTAAAATTATTTTTCCCATCAACCTGCTAGTCTCTTTGGCTCTATAAATGCCATCCTCTCTTTCGCTTGAAGCCCCCTTCCTCCTTCCTTTCTCCCTTCTAGCATCTTTCTGGCACCTTTCCTTCTGAATATTTTGCTTACATGTTCCTGGCTCTCAAAGCACCTTGTTTTGTCATTGAACTGTAGCTATATTCTGCCATTTCTATTCTCCAGTCTTGATCTTGGATCTCAGTTTCTTGAATCCAAAACCCATTAATATTCTCCATCTTGGTACAATTCTTCTGTGCTGGGCTGGCGTTTTGAGGCTGTTTCAAGCATCAAGTCACAATCCTTTTTTTTGGGTTTCTAGTGGGGTTTTTTAAATTCAAGTCTTGATGATAAATATTTTGTTCTTGATGTTTGAGATTCATGTCTCCAATTCTCAGTGAAATCTTCATTACTGGGTGCATGATAAATTCTACCTTCAGGCGCAGGACCCATTTAGTTCAATCATTCTCAGTTGTTTTCCTTTACTGGTTGTATTACGTTTCATGATTTTTGCTCAAAACCTGATCTAATATAATATACATAAATATAAAGCTAGTAATATTACTACTACTATTATCTGCATTACTTTTGAGTTTGTTGCTATTTGGGTCTTGCCATAACTCTCTGTTTGTTGCCGTTGTTGTTTACAAGTTGCAAACCTGTTTTGTGGGTCTCTCATGGCTTCCTCTAGTGGAACATCTTCAGGATCATCTTTGATTCAAAACTCAGGTTCGGAGGAGGATTTGCAGGCATTGATGGATCAGAGGAAGAGAAAGAGAATGATATCAAATCGCGAATCGGCGAGGAGGTCTAGAATGAGAAAACAGAAGCATTTGGATGATCTAATGGCTCAAGTGTCTCAATTGAGCAAGGAGAATCACCAGATTATTACAGGCATCAATATCACAACTCAGCGTTACTTGAGTGTTGAGGCTGATAACTCAATCCTAAGAGTTCAAATAAGCGAGCTCAGCAATAGATTGGAGTCTTTGAATGAGATAATCGGTTCCTTGAATTCAAACAATGGTGTTTTTGGAGACTCGAGCACCTTCAATGAACCAGCAGCTGACAGCTTCTTGAACCCATGGAACATGGCCTACCTGAATCAGCCTATAATGGCGTCTGCAGAGATGTTTCATTACTGATCTGTTCTCGAGCAGAAGAGAGATAGAGAGATCTGTTAGGAATAATCAAGCTTAAGAAATTATCACTCAAGAGCTGATTATAATTTAAGTAGTTTGAAATAAGGCAACATATGTAGAAGTAAAGGGGTGGGGAGTAGATGGATATGTAAGAAAGAACAAAAGGGTTGTGGCTAGTTTGGTTCTTGGTCTGTAAAAGGGCTTGCGAGTTTTACAGTTTGATGTAGTAGAATTTCGCTATTATAGTAAATGTAATGGTATTATTTTTAACGAGTTCTTCTTACTGTTCCAAGCTGTGTGGATGGCCTTCACAGTGAAATCAGCTTTGTTTCTCGCATCAAATTTTTTAATGAAAAAATATCTGTAAAGCGGGCTTTCTTACGTTTGACAAACTGAAATAATTGAGTGCAAACACAATACTTGTTTATGAAGTGTATAAAAACAAAGCAGCAGTCTCCCTCCTTCCTTCGAGTGTATATTGTTCATTTTTTTCCCTTTATTTGAAGCTTGAGCTGTGCATTTTGACTAATTGTCCAGGAAGCTCTGAAGTAGTGGCTGCTGATTATATATATGCGGTGGCTTGTGAATTTCTGAGCTATAAAATGATTTTTTGATCCACTTGGAGATGTTTCAGAGAGCCACCACTCGTGTGATTACTTATTTAGAAACTACTGGGCAAAGACCATGTTGCTATGCATCTCGCCAATTTTGTCTCGCATGAAGTGAGAGAATAGGACCTTCAATGAGAATCAAGCATCCGATCCAATCTTGCATTATTTAGCACCTCACGTTTGCAGATTTATTGAATGACAAGAACCCAGAGGATTTGACAGCGGCCCCCCAGCATCTTTTTCAGTGTAAAACTCAGAGTTGCCGTTAATATCAAGAACACCAGGAGAATATTTGTTTTTGGATCTTAAAAATGCTCGTAAACAAATTGAAATAAATTTTAAAAATACTTTAAAAAATAATAATTATTATTATTACATCAAAGTAATGTTTTCGGATGATTTTTTCACACGTTAAGAGTAATCAAATTACTGCTTCCAAGCAGATTAACCCCTAAAATCTCATTTATCTGAAGTAAGAATGCAATTGCTAGGAATGAACCCAATTCACGAAAATAAACTTCTTGACTGAAGCAAATCAATAAACATGGTTCACTCAATATGAAGGAGCAATGGAAAGCAAATTAAACTTGACTGAACGATTGGAACATGGTTGAAGACACAGACTGCAGTGTTTGAAATTGCGTATAGAAAATACTTTTAAAACAAATTAAAATAAAAAATATTTTAAAAATAATTACCATTACACTTTTAAACACAAATATTAACGTGGGAGGCGTTCATGTAGTCGTGGAACAGATCCCACGTGCGGGAAACAATACTATCAGTAGCCATAGATATGGAAAAGGCAGAACTATTCATGGTTCTCTCCACTCGAGTGGTTTTATTTTTGGTTGGTCTCAGTAAAAAGCCAACAGGGAACAGGACGAATGGGCTCCAACTTGGGGAGGCTGTAAGGGATTTATTTTTATAGGTTTCGATCACACTAAATACAAAAGCATTGCAAGGGGACAAATGGAGTCATGCCTCAGTCGCAATCCGTTGTCCCAATCATGGTTCCGTAAGCAGCAGAGCAACTTTCTTTGATTTTCTTTTGCTAATGGCCTTCTTCTGCAAGCATTGAGGAAGTAAATCCTATCCCAAAAATAAAAAAGAGAGCATCGAGGAATCGATAAATCGCAAAGCAAGCACCAAAGCACGTCAATCAAAGTCGTCTTATTGCTTGATGACATGTGTAAATTAAAGTGGCCTCCAAGATTGAATGCTGGAGAAAATTAGTCAACATCGTCGCTAGTTCTTCTAAGCATCTGTCTGCTAACTTAGAGATTAGCACTAGTGATGTGAGATTTGCTTGTCTCATTTCATTTATTTGCTGGAAAAAGATTTTGTTTCAGAAAGTAAATTTTTTAAAAATAAATTATTTTTAATATTTAATAATAAAATAAAAATAAATAAAAAAATTCTTTTTAATACTTGTTTATATCATAAAAAATAAGTTGAAAAATAATTTTTTATTTTCTTTACTTTTTTCAAGTTTATTAAAATAATAAGAAACAAACCTTATAAATTAAGGAGTTGAATGCAAATAAAATTGTGAAAGAATATAATTTTATAAATTAACTAAAATAAAAAAAATAATAATCAAAATAAATTAAAATAATAGAGATCAAATCTAATAAATAATTTTTTAAAAAATAATAATAATTATAATTTTATAAATTATTTCAAATAAAATAAATAATAATCAAAAGAATGAGAATCAAATTTGATAGATAAAGGATTTTAATTTAAAAAATAATAAGAAAATATAAAATAAAAATTATAAAAATTAAAATTAAAATTAATATAAAAATAAAATTCTAAGAGATAAAATTGAAAGAAAAAATTTAAAATAAAATATATATAGTAATCAAAAGTTTGAGAACCAAATTTGATATAATTAGTAAATAATATGATAATTCTAAATTTTTTATAATTTTTAAAAAGTGTTTTCAATTCAAAATAAAAAAATATTTTTTTCTGGAAATGAAGCTAATTTTTTTAACTAAAAACATTTTTTATTAATAAATTTTTTTAATTAAAAAAATATAAAATTAATTTTTATTGAATAAATAAAAATTTAAAATATTTTAGTGGTAGAATTTTTGAATAAGTGGAGAGAGAAAAAAGTACACATGTTATAACTCTAAATACCAAGGCCCCAGTCAGTTCTTGAATTAAATTTGGGAAGGTTGTTCGATGTTTTTTTTCTTTTTTCTTTTTGTAATTATTATTAACAATAAATCCTGGGGTGCATAGGTTTTTGGCAAGGAATTTTCCCAAGGACACCAAGGTTAATTCATCAACTGTGTCCATGTCCGAAGTTCTCATGGAACTGTTTGCGACCAGAGAAGAGTTGAATTTAAAATCTTGAATAGAGAAATATTGTGGTTGATGATTGTGAGGCGCTATATCTTACTAAAATTCAAACCTCGTGATATTTTTATTAAATTAATTCAGATTAATATAAAAAATATAAATTAAAAAAATTAGAATTCTTATTAATTAATTTATTTATTTTAAATGCTTAAATTAATCTAAATATAAAGAAATTATATATATATATATATACGTTAAACTGAAAATATTATTTTTTTGTTAATAAATAAAACAATATCAAATATATTATCTAACATATTTTCCTAAACTCACGATATAATAACTACAGTCATTATAAAAAATTATGTAAAAGAGAATCTCATAGATGACCATGCTTCATCAAGAATATAGCTAACCAATATTTAAAATTTTAAAATCAACAAGATTCTATTTGTTTAAATTTTGAACTCATGAAATCAATGCAAATATATAGGACAATAGTTAGAATTATTTTCTATTTAAATCCTCTATAAATGTATATATCAATAACGAAACATCATAATATTTTTGCATTCTTCTTTACAAATTAAAAGTCTTACATGGTATTAGAGCCACTAAAAAGACATAGTCTTCTCCTCTTTAATTCTAAATGGCCTTCTCATCCTCCTCAAACTCCATTGCTCCTATTATTATCCTAACCCTCTCTAATCTTGCATTTACTATAAATATCAAATTGCACTCTTCCAACTATCCTATGTGGAAAGGCTCAAGGTTTACCATACTTTTGAGGTCACGAACTTTATGGTTACCTTAATGGAACAATCTTCATTCCACCCAAAGAAATAGATTTCTCTTACTCCAACACAAGTGTCCTTCAAAAAATTCCAAATCCTCAATATAATTAATGGCTTCGTCATGATTCTTTAATTCTAGCCACCATCAACTCCTTACTCACATAAGATGTCCTACACCACATTTCATGAGGTATGGCTTACACTTTCGCGCAACTTCTCCTCTCTTTCCCATGCTAAAGCGATCCAAATTCAAATCCAATTAGCTAATGCTAGAAAAGCCGCACTAACAGCAAATGCGTAGTCCTTCTCCATCAAAAGAATGTCTAACGAGCTTGCCTTTGCTGAACAACCTCTCACAAATGATGATATAATCACCTTTGTTCTCGCAGGACTTGGCTAGGAATATGATTCCTTGACCTCCATAATTACTTCAAGACTCGATCCTGTTAGTTTGGAGGAACTCTACTCCATGCTTCTCATTTGTGAATCACAGATAAATCATAATAATCAACCCCTTAAAATTATTGCTTCTGTAAAGCTAGTCATAACATGACCCCAACAGTACACCCACCAACCTGGAATTTTTCAATACTCCAATCGTAATCGCGGTAGCTATCGTAGTTGGAGACGTTCTCACTTTCATGATTCCATCCAATCAAACTCTCTTATCTGTCAGGTATGCTTCAAACTAGGACATAACGCTAGTAAATGTTATCACCGCTTTGATCATTCAAAGAACCAACCACAAGCATTGCTTGTTGCCCACTATCTGCAAACTAATAAAGAATGGCATCCTGGCACAGGAGCCACCTATCATCTCACAAATAACATGAAGTATTCGTGTTCCTCATGAAGGCTATAATAAACAATATGATATTCAAGTGACTAAAGGTGCAGGTCTGAAAATTGTGCAAAGTGACACTTCTAGTAGATCTTCTTCTTCTAAATCATTTATTCCATCAAATTTTTCTTAGTCCTGATATTAAAAAAAAAATTGTTATCTATTCAGTATTTTTGTATAGACAATAATGTTTTCTTTAAGTTTTATGCCTCTTTCTTCATTGTGAACTATTACTCAGGGAAATATCCTACATCGTGGCTCACTCGGTAATGGTCTCTATAACTTTTCAGCTTTATTGTCTCATCTTGAACCACAAGCTTTCTCTAGTAATCCCGTGTCTTCCAAAATATGACATCATCATCTCGGACATGCTTCATTTCCAGTTACCAATAAGGTTACTTCTTTATCTATTCAAAATAAAAATAACTCCATTTGTTCTTATTGTCAACTAGTCAAGAGCCATGCTATGCCCTTTACAAATATGCATGTTAAAGTTTCATAACACTTATAATTAATATATTTAGATGTTTGAGGGCCAGTTTCTACATTATTCATTTCTGGTGCACAGTATTACATCAGTTTTTTAGATGATGCTACCAAATTCTTATGACTTTTTCTCTAATATAAAAGTCCACCAACTACAAAACAAAAGCAAGAGATGGAATGCAACTTGGTAAAGACATTTGCAATCTACAAGGAAGAAGAAACAAAAAAA